AGATTTATGCAACATATCCTCCTTATCTTCAAACTTCGCTAGATAAAAAACATAACCTAGGTCAATCACTTCCAATTCCTTTGAATGCTTCCGAAGCAAGTGTAAACGATTGACCAAAAAGGAGTTGCCAACTGACTTGCCATAGACTTTAATAATCAACGAATCTGACATTAGGCTCACTCAATTCTTGAACAACATCTTTGTTCACCACAACCCGTGGCTTCAAACAACGAACCTTCCTCGCCTAAGCCTCAAACAATGAAAAACTCAAACTTTGGAAAACACTAGGCTGCATTAGTGTTCGAGTAGACTGCGAAAGCAGACAATCACGAAAAGAACATGCAGGAGACGACATCGTGGTTGGACCTCCACCTGGTGGTTGCCCCATCAGCACAGAGACATCAACTGGCTGAACAGAGGAACCTAGTAAAGAGGAAACCTATTTTTTTTAAGGGTGTAGTACTTTAAATAGGAGTAAGATTATATTAATACCCTTAAAGTAATGAGTGTGCTATTACCTTTTTATGCTTAGTTTATGGAGAGAAGAGAATCAATGATGAACTTGAATTTCAAAAACATCATTATATCTCTTACATTGTTTGACTGAAAAATCCAAGGAACTATTAATATTTTTAGCTTATCCAAACACATTCATTGGTTAAAAAACTGAACATGTATGCTACATTTATAAATGTACCTCTGAGCGAAATAAGTTCATCTTTTATGTTGATTGTAGCATACTCATATTCAATGCCATAAAAAAAAATAGAAAATCAAGCCCCATATCAGCCCTAAGTACAAAATAATGATGAACTAACTTTTAAATTACCAGTTGAATTTCCACTTCAATATAGCAGGATAGAAAAGTGTGAACATAATTTGGGTTCATCATGAGCTTGGCTTTTTTGGAGTAAGATTATTTTAATACCCTTAAAGCAATGAGTGTGCTATTACCTTTTTACACTTAGTTTATGGAGATGAGAGAATAAGATGATGAACTCCAATTTTAAAAACATCATTATATCTCTTGCATTGTTTCACTTAAAATTCAAGGAACCATTAATATTTTTAGCTTATCTGGCCACATTCATTGGTCAAAAAACTGAATATGTAAGCTACATTTATAAATGTATCTCTGAGTAAAAAAGTTCATATTTTATGTTGATTATAGCAGACACACATTTAATGCCATAAAAAAATTTAGAAGATTAGCCCATATCAATCCTCAAAAACTACTAATGGTGAACTAACTATCAAATTACCACTTCAATTTCCACTTCAATATGGTAGGATAGGAAAAAATTTGAAACATAATTTTGGTTCATTGTGAGCCGGCTTTTTAGGAGTAAGATTACTTCAATACCCTTAAAGCCATGAGTGTGCTATTTCAAAAGTATCATTATATCTCTTGCATTATTTGACTAAAAATCGAAGGAACCATTAATATTTTTAGCTTATCTAGCCACATTCATTGGTAAAAAAACTGAACATGTAGACTAAATTTATAAATATACCTCTGAGTGAAAAAAGTTCATCTTTCATGTTGATTATAGCAGACTCACATTCGATTCCATTAAAAACTTAGAAATCGGACCCCATATCAACCCTCAAGTACTAAATAACGGGAAAATTATTATTGCATCCCTGAGGTTTTACATAATTATTTAGGTAGTCCTCGACATTTATACATATATTTATAACGTCCCTGAGGTTTGCCACCGTCATATTAATTGATATTAATATAACTTCACCTGAAGGTTTGCCACCAGTCATATAATTGTCCTTTCCGTCAAAAAAAACACTTTTTCTGTTAATTTTTTGAGAAGAAAGACGAAATTATCCATTTAGAAATAATATATTATCGTCCCAGGTTTGCCAATTAATTATAACGCTAGTCCCCTACATTATATACAAATATTAATAATGTCCCTGGGATTATACTTCCATCATATTTAATTGGTTCCTTTCCATAAAAAAATACACTTTTTTTTCTGTAAATTTTGAGTTGAGAAAAGACAAATTATCTTTATAAAGTTATTCAATTGACTTATTAAATCCCTTCCTCTAAATTACCTAAAACTCACATTTCATACAATCTTCTTCAAACCACAACGCGGTCTTCATTGCCACACCCGTGTCAATGAAAACATAATATCATCCATAACCAGAATCACCACACAAACTAAAACCCAACATCCAAACTCAATTCAAGCACTCCACCCTTCATCTATTTATCTCATCTCTCCTGATCTAGAGGATTTAGGTTAGTTTGTTCATATCTATTAAAATTAAACCAGCAAAAAAGTGTGTTTTTTGACAGAAAAGACCAAGCACTCTGACAAGTAAAACCTAAAGGAACGTTAAATAAATTGGTTATAAATGCTGTGGACTACTCAAATAATTATTGGCAAACCTTAGCGACGAAATAATTATTTTCCCTTTTTATTTTGTTGGTGATCTGGTTATGGAGATGATTACTTGACCAGAGACATCAGGTGGTGGCAATGAAGACCGCGTTGGGATTGAGGAGATGGTGAAAATTGAGTTTCAGGTATTAGAGGGAAAGGGATTGACATAATGTCAATGAAACTTATTAAAGGATTTAAGTTCATTCTTTTCCGCTCAAAATTAACGGAAAAAGTGTATTTTTTTTTTATGGAAGGGACCAAATTAATATGACGGAAATAAACCTCAGGGACGTTATTAAATATTTGTATAAATGTCGAGGACTTACTTAATAATTTATGGCAAACCTCAGGTACGAAATAATTATTTTTTCCAATGGATTAAATAATTATGGCAAACCTCAGGGACGAAATAATTATTTTTCCAAAGGATAATTTCGTCTTTTCCTCTCAAAATTAACGGAAAAAATGTATTTTTTTGATGGAAGGACCAATTAATATGACGGTAGCAAACCTCAAGGACGTTATAAATATATTTATAAATGTCGAGGACTACCTAAATAATTATGTAAAATCTCAAGGACGAAATAATAATTTTCCCGCTAAATAATTATGAACTAACTTTTAAATTACCACTTCAATTTCCACTTCAATATGGCAAGATAGAAAAAACTGAAAACATAATTTTGGTCCATCATGAGCCTGGCTTATTAGGAGTAAGATCACTTTAATACCCCTAAAGCAATGAGTGTGCTATTACCTTTTTACACTTAGTTTATGGAGAGAAGAGAATGACATGATGAACTTGAATTTCAAAAACATCATTATATCTCTTGCATTGTTTGACTAAAAATCCAAGGAACCATTAATATTTTTAACTTATCCAAACACATTCATTGATTAAAAAACTGAACATGTGTGCTACATTTATAAATGTACCTCTGAGAGAAACAAGTTCATCTTTTATGTTGATTGTAGCATACTTAAATTCAATGCCATAAAAAAGTTTAGAAAATCAAGCCCCATATCAGCCCTAAGTACAAAATGATGATGAACTAACTTTTAAATTACCACTTGAATTTCCACTTCTATATGGCTGGATAGAAAAAATTGGGAACATGAATTTGGTTCATCAAGCATGGCCTTTTAGGAATAAGATTACTTTAATAAACTTAAAGCAATGAGTGTGCTATTACCTTTTTACATTTAATTTATAGAGAGAAGAGAATGAGATGATGAACTTGAATTTCAAAAACATCATTATATCTCTTGTATTTTTTGACTAAGAATCCAAGGAACCATTAATAGTTTTAGCTTATCTAGCCACATTCATTGGTTAAAAAACTAAACATGTAGGCTATATTTATAAATGTACCTTTGAGTGAAAAAAGTTCATCTTTTATATTGATTATAGCAAACTCACATTTAATGCCATAAAAAAAACTTTGAAAATCGAGCCCCATATCAGCCCTAAATACTAAATAGTGATGAACTCACTTTTAAATTATCACTTCAATTTCCACCTCATTATGGCAGGATAGAAAAAGTTGAGAATATAATTTTGTTCATCATGAGCCTGGCTTTTTAGGAGTAAGATTACTTTAATACCCTTAAACTAATGGATGTGTTATTACGTTTTTACACTTAATTTATGTAGAGAAGAGAATGAGATGATGAACTTAAATTTCAAAAACATCATTATATCCCTTACATTGTTTGACTAAAAATCCAAGGAACCATTAATATTTTTAACTCATCTAGCCACATCCATTGGTCAAAAACTGAACATGTAAGCTAAATTTATAAATGTACCTCTGAGTGAAAAAAGTTCATAGTTTATCACCCAAGTTTGGGCTCCCTTTTAATTAGTGTGGGCCCTATTATCCAATTGGGTAGTAAAATGTTAATTGATGAGTGCTAACTTATCAGAAATTGAGTGAAAGAGAGAATTGTGAATCTAGAATTAGCCCTTCTCTGGAATTAATTTGGGATATATATACTAGAATAAGGATAATTATATTAGGATAAGGATTAGAGGTCATATATTATCTATTAGTTAGAGTTTATTTAGAAATTTAATATCTTTTTATATTATCCTTTTATATATTTTATTATTGTATATTATCAATGAGACAGAACCCATAACATCATTCATATAACTAAGACGCTCTATCAGTAAGCTGCTTTAAACATTTGTTCTTAAAAAGCTATATTTAAAGCTAATCAATTTGTAAATTATAAATAAATGAAATAAAAATATTGTTAGATAGAAATATAAAATTATACTCATAAATAAAAATTATGGTAAATAAGTGTATTGGAGTGAATAATTTAATAATTATTATTTTGAAATAGTTAATTGTCACGACCCATTTCCGTGGGCCGGACCGGCACTAGGACCTGGGTGGGCTTAAGGCCCCCGAAGCCCGTAGTAAGCCTAACTTATTTATGGGCCGGACCCGGCACTTAGGACCTGGGTGGGCTTAAGGCCCCCGAAGCCCGTTAGTAAGCCTTAACTTATTTTAAACTCACATTTAATTCATAATTTGGATTCAGGCCCAATTTACTTATTATTACATATGCATCTAATACATATGCATCTAAAATACAGTTCATATGTTTAATATGGACTTTTATTATTTATTTACAACCCAACTGGAATACAATTGCGGAACTCTACCTTTATATTTATATCGTTATTTCTATCATTAACCGTCTTCTACAATAAGTGTCTCAACTTCATAGGGCTTTTCTTTCTTTCTATTACCTAAAAAAAAAAATAGTAGGCAGGGGTGAGCGCCAAACTCAATGAGTAGGGTTAGATATTAGATAACCCTCTCACCCCACACAATCACACAGATGCTAAAATATTTTTATCCGATTACCGTTTAATTATATGATCATGCAATTTGTCACAGGGCAAGTACGGAACAGCAATCGACAGAGTATTTGACCTCCCTTCATATAATTCACATCAATCACATCACGTGGAAATTAGTCAGTGGAGTCATCGAACCCCGATGAGCCGTCCTCCCACATGGCTCATCCTCTCACGTGTGCACCAGGGAGCCAATCCCCCATTCTGGCCGACCGGTTCAATTCTCACACAACCAGTCCTCTCATTATTTTTCCAGTCTTTCCCTCTTTTTTTATTTTATTTTTATTTATTTTTTTTTTATCAACAGGAGGCAACTCGGTCGTCTCCATCAAATCTAGATCATCAGGCGCTCACAACAGGAGGTCACCCTGCGGGCTGCGATCAAATCTAGATTATCATAGATTAATCAGGTGCCCCAAATTAAAGAAGCCAACCCTGTGATCAGTATCAAATCTCTTCTTTTTCTCTTCTTTTTTTTTTATACCCAACAGGAGGGCAACCCGGTCGTCTCCATCAAATCTAGATCTCAAGCGCTCCACAACAGGAAGGCCACCTGCAGGCGCGATCAGATTCTAGATTATCAGGTGCGCCCAAAGAGACCAACCCGTGGTTTCCATATCATACAGATCAGAACTAGTAGGTGCACACGGGGGGCGCCGATTCTCCCATTTACCCGGCTAACAGAATCAGAATCAGGACCCATTTATAAAACAGAATAGAATCAATAATCAGGATCCATATAACAGAACAGTCTTCACAAAACCCATGGTGACCCACTTCATCCCAATTCCACCACAACCAAGGCCACAAAGGCACAGTAATATCACATCACAGCTAATCAAGCAATACAAATAGGGCAGCACGATATGGCAATTCAACAAAATAATGCATGATAACATTTAGCCGTGAATGCATGAATGCCGGTGGATGATACTAGTTATCTAATACTACTCACAGTTCGTTATTGTCCTTTAAAAGGACTGCCTTTTTAGCCACATGCTTCTAGCTTTTGTCCTCGCATTTTGTACTTTATAAACCTTTAAAATAAACAAGAAAATTCTAAATAAGAATTTTAATTCAAAAACTTATATTTCACATTCGTTTATTTATTTTGGCTACTGGTCATTTAACTGGTATTTAATTCACTTGTTATATTATGCATATAATAATCTAGGTTCTCTCATATATAAAATATATATTCTTAATTTATAACCTTTTAGATAAAATCTTTCTAATTATTCAGTGAGGAATATTGTAGTAATATAATCTAATAATTTGTATAATATTTCTTAAACCTAAAATTTTAAGTCGTTTCACTACTTATAAGAATTATAACTTTAATTTAATCTCATAAGTGTTCTATAAAAATTTTCAGCAACATTTCCTCTATAAAACTGGACTATCCAAATTTTACATAAAACCATATGTCAACACACAGCCCATCCATCGGGCAATTTCACATTAACTCAATCTCAGTCCGCCAAAAAACCATCATTCATTCTTTCATTCAATTCAGAGTTATTTTCATTCGGTCATATCATATTCTTAATCAAATTAAATTCTCATTATAATTAATTATGCTATAACTATTTACTTACTAATAAAATTTCCAAATTTTACTTACATTATTATTAGATAGAAATTTATATTTCAACACCGATTTTATAGTTATAATTAATATTCATGGAATATATTTAACAATATCAAATTTAATTTATTTAACTACTTAATTAAATTCATTAATTAATTATCTTGGGATTTATTCAAAAATTGCAAATTAAGCTTTAGAGTGTACCGATCGAAAATCGGATTTGATTTCCGTGATCCGCGCAAAGAGGAGAACATTCTGCCTTTGAAGTCCTGCCGGAGCCTCGCCGGCCGGTCGCCGGACCGCCGCCGTGCACGGTTGCCGAAAAAGTCAAATCTTCACCAAAATTAACAAACAATATATCATTTTATTCGTTTCGATGAGAGGATCACTAATATGTATTCAAATCAAGGTGGATATGAACTATTTGGCCGGAAATTGACCGGAAAGGTTTGGTGAAACCCATTTTGGGTTTTCCGATTCCGGTTATTACAGTCGACGAGGAGGCCATCAAATGGAAAGAGGAAGAAAGAAGGAGTCATTTTGGTACTCACTCTTGCGCTCTAGGCTTGTCCTGAAACGCCCATAACCGTGAATCGCCGGGAAAAAAGTGTAACCACTGGTGGCCGAAACTTCAAGCTCTTTCCCCTTCAAAATAGACGCAATTTCAGTTCCAAATCTAAGCTATTAATCTTCTTCCTTGCGTTGAGGTAGATGTTTTTTAGAGTGTTCATTATGCCCGAATTTGGTTTGGCCGGTGAGGACGGAGAATCGAAAGGAGAGGGAGGAGGAGGAGGAGGAGGTGAACGCAATGGAGAAGGAGAAGAAATAAACGAAAGAGAAAGAGAAAGAAAAAGAGAAAAAAGAAAAGAAAAAGAAATGGGCCGGTCCGGTTCGATTCAAAACCGGTTCGGTTCCAATTCAGTGATTTTGGTCTCATTTCGTTTGGTTTTTGAGTTTCTCATTTCGTTTGGTTTTTGAGTTTTCCAATCGATTTTCGGTTCGGTTTATCACAGTATTCGAACTAAAATATTAATATAATTTCCAAGCTGTCGTTTCATTAAATTTAATTGGAAAATTTTTGAAAATAAAAATTCAGGGTATTACATTAATTATGCAATTTTTTACATATAAATAATTTAATTCTTTATCATATAATGTTTATGTAGATAATAATTTTTATATACATTAAGTAGATAGACATTATATTTTGAATTTATATGCAACATATATTATAAAATGATAATTATTTATAAATAATTTAAATAACTATTACAATATTTATAGTTAAATATTTTATAATTATCATACTTAGTATTATAATAAATCATGAATTATAATTAGTGCTAATAAGAATTAAATATAAATAATAAATAATGATAATTAATTTGACCAACATCTGTAGCTCGCTTGTATTTTATTTTTTAAATTAACGACCAATCTAACTGAAAGAAGAAATGGCAAAGAAAACATTTTCATTTACATCAATATACAAATATGAAATTTCAAATAAATCTCATAAAAATTGTTTAGTAACCATTTAAGCAATTTATGATCAACCCTCAAGGACTAAATAATGATGAACTCACTTTTAAATTCTCACTTCAATTTCCATCTCAACATGGCAGGATAAAAAAAATCGAAAAATTAAGTTTGGCTCATCACGAGCCTGGCTCATTAGGAGTAAGATTACTTTAATACCATAGAGCAATAATCATGGTATTATCTTTCTACCTTTATTTTATAGAGGAGAGAGAATGAGACGATGGACTTAGAATTTCAAAAACTTCATTGTATCTATTGCATTGTTTGACTAAAATCCCAAGGAATCATTAATATCTTTAGCTTTTATAGCCACATTGGTCAAAAAAATTGAACATTTATTATTTGATTTTTTCAAGAGGAATGCCATGATTTTCAAACGGTAGAGAATACATTTACAAAAAAACTGAGCCATTTTAAACATTTATTCTTAAAAAGACATAGATAACTAAATCAATTTGTAAATTATAAATAAATGAAATAAAAATATTGTTTGATAGATATAAAACCATACTCATAAATAAAAATTATAATAAACAAATATTTTGGAGAAATATTTCAATAATTATTCTTTTAACATAGTTTTTCCGTAATTTTATTCCGTAATTTATATTATATTATATATATAATATAGTTATATTATAATTTTAATTATTACACTTAATGTATGCAGAATAATTAAATTTTTATATACATAAATAGCATGACATTATATTATGAATTTATGTGATATATATATATATGTGATATATATATATATATAATTAAAATAACTATTAAAATATCTATAATTAATTATTCTATAATTATAATGCTTAATATTATAATAAAATATAAATCATACTAGTACCATATATCATTATATTATTATTTCTAAAAATGAAACTCTAGCCACCGTCTAATTCCTTTCTTTTCTCCCTAACACCTAAGAGAAAAAGAGATGAAGGAGAGAAGATTGAAGGTAGGCATGGCCGGTTCATTGAACGCCGGTTCCAGTTTACGGAATCGACGATTTCGATTTCGGTACGGTTCCGATGAATTGACGGTTCCGTTCACGGTTTCAGGCAATATATGTTTTTTTTTTAAAATCAGTTTTAATGCTACATCTTTCTTTCGTACATATTAATATGAGTTTAAAAAATATTGATAAATTTTATTTTAAATAAATTTTAGAATACTTATACTCATATAGACTTATATCTCATATAGGAATAAAATTAATTAATTTTACCAATAAAATCAAATAAATTATCCACTTTATTTTGTTATAAATGTTATTAATTAAATAAATATTAAGAAAATTTGAAAAAATGCTTCAAAAGAAGTGTAATTTAAACTGGAGCAAACAATTTAAAAGTGGTTTAAAAAAAAAAGTAAAATAATTATAAGTTTAGTGACTAGAATAAATTATCTCTTTTTTTTACCATTTTACTTTTTAGATTTTTAACTGTTTAAAGTAAAGTTTTCGTATTGTTTAAAGAAAAAATTCTTAAGTAAAGTATATCATGTAGTATAATATTGATTGAGAAGTATAATATTATTGAGACTTTTAGAGATGTATAAAATAGGCCGAGTGATTATCATTTTGAAAATAAAAATAGAAAATTTTCGGTTCGAACCGGACCGGAACCGCCGGTTAACCGCCGGTTTCGGGCTAATTTCGATTCATATTTTAACATTCACATGAACCACCGGTTCCAGTTCGTCTACAGTGCGATTCGATTCCGGTTCGAACTGAACCGGTGGCCATGCCTAGTTGAAGAAGGGTGGTACTGCATTATATATATTAGGTCAGAGAAATGTATAATTATTGTGTTTATGTAGAGTTAATTTATATTATTAGACTCTAATTATAATTAGGATTATTATATTTATAAAGTACTATATATTAGAATAGTAACTCTAACATATAATAATTTTATTTATCATAATTTACGAATTGATTTTTTTTTTTTAAGCATTTTACATATTGATTTAGCTAAGCATATATATATATATATATATATATTATATTATATATATATATAATATAGTTGCGTTTCAAAGAATAATTCAAATTGTATATATATATATATATATATATAGTGCCTTTCAAAGAATAAATATCAAAATTGATTTCACAGAGTCCACACATTAATTAATAATTATGTTTATTGATCATAACAAACTTAAATTTAAGCCCGTAAAAAAAAAATAGCAAATCAGGCCCAAATTGCAAATATACCAATATGAAATTTCAAATAAATCTCATAAATATTTATTAAAAATTATTTAAGCAACCTTATGATCAACCCTCAAGGACCAACTCACTTTTAAATTTCCACTTCAATTTCCATCCATCTCAATATGGCAGGAAAGGAAATTATTCAGCTGAACTAAATAAGATTCCGAAAATTGAAGAATAGACAACCTTTTCTCTTGCTTTGCTTCAACAAATAAATCTGGTTTCTCATCATAAGAACAGTTCTAATGTTATTAAATGAAAATAACGGGAGGGAAGGTCGATTTCAAATTATGGGGGAGAAAATCAACATATTTTATCATTAATTTCCATATATAGTTCAAAGCACCTTCCCCATCTTCCCTGCCCCAGAAGAATAAAAAAGACTAGCATTAGAATGAAGCTACTCGTACAACATAAGCAGTATGAAATTCAAATTGCATTTTTAAAAATCTGGAATTCAGCTGCCAAAATCTTGGGGTGTAATGAAAATTGCTAAGACAAACAATCAATCCCCTCCCCATTTTCTCAAAACTCTTTCTTTAGCAGAAGCCTGAATATGCACTTCCTTCTTCGACATATCAACCGGACCTTCTGGAGATGTCTTTTTCAAGATTCTTGACGATAAGAAAGTGAGTCCATTTCTCGTTCCTCGCAAAGCATGAAGCCAGGGATTGATGGTGACTGCAAGTATTACTTCACCTTTTGCAATCACAAGATACTACAATGGCAAAGTAAATATTATGGATTAAGAAAGGGTCTAATCTCATAACAATATTCTGTAAATATAAGAATCTCAAGGGAAAAATGCTTACCATGGCCACAATACCTAGGACGGCAAGACCCGTTTGTTGTGCTTCAGGCCAGAAATTGTCACCATTGGACCAGCCAAATCGTCCACCCCATCCAAACCAACCCCCTCCACCGGAACTTCCACCACCACCTGCTTCCTCTCGTTTCTTAATTTCCTTATTCCATTTCTCAAATTCATTTTTCTTTCCTCCAAGCGCACTTTCTAAAGCTTTCCTAGCTTGTTCCTGCAACACAGCTACGAAAAGGATAAATATCTAGAAATGCATCAAGATTAATACATAAATGTCAGGCTACTGTGACCAGAACTAAAACAGACTTGAAAAAGGCATAAAGCTCAATCAAAGAACTGGGAAACTCAAACAAACCTATGAGATTATTATTCTTTAATGGAACTTGGAGAGTTCATCGTTGACAAAACTACCTCAACTAACTAGATTTCAAACAAAGTTTTATTTATGATCTATATTCAAGTGTAACACCCCCCTAATTTTGACAGCACCTGAGGATCATATCACAGGTCATAGCCATAAGCAGATCCCCCCTATGGTATTCTCAATAATACGCACAAGCAGCATTCAATGAGCTTGGGGTTAAATTCATTCATGAGTCATGACTAAATTTATTACCATGTTTTAGAATGGTCAAGGAATTTCATTCATTTTGTTTGAGCAAAAGCACTCCACTCTGATTTTTGTTTCGATACGGTTATTATTGCTTAGATTCTATAAAGATTCAGCCAAATTCACTATCAGCCAAATTATTTATGAGTAACTGTGACAGCCTGTAGCCTCTAGAACTATATTAGAAAAATTTTACTTGACAATCATCTAAAATTATGGGTAACATTCCATGAAAATGTAGCAATAATGCATTTGATAAAGAAAAATCAGTTGATTTAGGCCTAACTAACAGGTCCATCTACCCGATTAAATTTTTGGCTACTCGACCCCAATTTAGAAACTCAATTACAATTATAACCCACCATCAAAAATGAAATAAAATAATAATAATAAATTTTTTAATTGATCTAAATTTGAAGAAAATAATCACTATTTTGGCTCTGATTTCCCAAAACAAAAAGGCTTTCTATTGACAATAGCAGGACAACTACAATCCTCCAATAACAAACAGAAGAGTTGATAAAGCAATCTAAATCCACAATCAAAAGCCATTATTCACTATGATGAAGATCCTAAAAACTCACAACCAAAAAAATCAAGTTGTTTATAGTGCTTTGAGGAGAATCCAAGATGTTCACGGTACTTTGAGGTCTAATCAAGTGGTTTATTCAATTGGGAGATGAGAAAATTGAGATTTAAAGAGATGATGTGAGCTCTTGGATGAAGCAAGGATAGGTAGGAATTAAAAGAGAAGCTCAGAATTGAGAGCCAATACGGTACTTGTCAAGGTAGGTCCAAAATATAGCAAATTCTGCATGTATAATATGTGTGTGTGTGTGTGTGTGTGTGTGTGTGTGTGTACATATTAATTTAGATTCAAGGCTTTCAAGAATACAGAGAAAGAAAGTAAAGGTGAGGGCAACGTGTGGAATGGGTTGGAAAAAGAGGGGTAAAAAGAAAATATTTTTATTAGATTAATAATAAAATGTTATTATTTTATTTCAATTTTGATTTATGGTTATAATTGCAATCAAGTTCCCAAATTGGGAATGTAATTGAAGTTCTAAAACGGGATACAATTTGAAAAACATGCAAAGTTTAGAGTAGATGAACCCATTATGCTTGATTTTATGGAAACAAATTGAATCTTAGTGACTGTCAAAAAAAATCAAAAAAAAAAAAAAAAAACGAACTTTAGTGACTGTAAAAATCAAAAAAAACCAAAAAAAAAAGAGCTAACTAAGATAAAAAAAAAAAAAAAAAAAAGACAATAAGATAAAATGACACAGGTGAAATTAAGGCTGAGCTTTCTGACAGCATCACCATTGCAATTAAGTTAAATATAACAAATAGGTTTAAAGGAAGAAATTTGAAGCAAGAGAAAAACTGGCAAGCTACAACACTGAACTGATGGCGGATAAAAGTTTTCACAATAATAAATGCAAAGTTAATTCTAGTACCTGAAGTTGATAAAAAAAGTTAGTCTCCAAAGTTTCAAAAGGTTAATTAAGTCCACAACTTCTCCATTTATTTTTAACTTTCCCCACCCATTAGTTTCTATCAATGACGAGTAGGAAAACAGAAAAAAGGGGGAGGGGGAGATGGCCCCCAACAGATGGCCTGCATAGATTCACAACTTTTAGTTCCCACCGTAAAAGCAAATTCAAGGAGTGTCTCAAGTGAAAAAATTCAAAAAAAAGATAAAATGGAAGAAAGAATTCTGCAGTCCCATAAATAGAGCATTAAAATAGATTATCACAATTAAAGACATACAACAAATTATACTATCTCGCCTAGATTCCAAAACTTGACCAAAGGCAATAAAATAAGAAACAAAGAGTTTTGCAAAACCAACTATAAAAAGTTAAAAACCTAAAATTTTAGGGATATACATATATATATAAATGAACTTTATGAACCACAAAATGTGTTTAGTTCTACATGCTCAAATATGTCCCATGTCAAAATGTTAAAACATAAAAATAGTATTCCTTTACAACGTAATCACTGATCGCAATACTTAATTGTAAGTTACGGAAATTTTTGACTTGATAATGCTTCCTTCTTTTCTGTATAACAATCATTAAGAAAGAGAGTGGTATAAATTGGGTTTGAATTCCTAAACCCCATGCTGCACTACAAAGCAAGCACACTAGTCTTCTAGCTGAATACAGTTAATTATCCATTTTAAACAAAAGTAGTAAACTAACTTTGAACATGGCCATGCTGTTAGCATGATTTGATTTCATGCATCAGCCCCAGAATAATAAGTTGAAATAAAGGGAAAAAGTATATAAAACAAGCGAGTTGCAAAAATTATGGTTCCAAAAAGATGTTTGACATATTAATTTGGGTGATTAAATCTACAAAAATATATGAATGGGCTTTTTAATGATCAAGGAATATAAAACATTTTTGGATGAGATATTGTGAGAAAAAGAAGAAGTGGTGAATTAGTTGAGTGTTGTGAACATTACCAAGGTATTACAGCACAAAATCATTTGTGGCTAGCACCTAGTGGGAAAAAGTTTAAAACCAAACCGAACATTAGCATATTTATTACCAACAACATTGGAAATAACTAAGTCAAAGAATCAAATACAAAGTATCAAATATTCAATCTCCTGTTGCCATTAATAATTGTTAACAAAATGGATCATACAGTTCAAATAGAAAGAAGAGGAAATTAATATGGGAATGAAAGAATAATCCCACTCCCTTTTTCCTCGAGAAAGAATGGGATTACTTTTCTGGAGTAACCACTCATTCTCCATTTTCCCCAATTAATAATGTCTTCATTCCCACTATAGAAATTCACAAAAACTACATCTCACATGGCAATCAAAATTTTGAAACATATATGAACAAATTCGAAAAAAAGAAAAAAGCAGTGAAATTCTATTATCTGGATTTAGGACAGCATATGAATTGAATGGAACTAAAAAAGAAGAAGAGATTTGATAATCAATGATTGGAGGATTCGTATGTCATCCACCCTAGTTTGATCTATGTACTGTACAAGTTATTCAGCAGTAAGCAAAATGGAAAGAAAAAAAAATTCTACCATAAATTAAATAGAAAATATTACAAAGGATTGTAACAACAACAACTTCTAATAATCAATCCTAACAAAATAGGCCGTGATGATAAAAAATTAGAAGCAGAGGAAGTATTTCACAAATATCAAAAACAAGAAATGCTTGATTAGTGTTTATATTACATTTTTTTATAAAAAATTCTGACCGAAAGGATATACAAATTATCATTCTTTTGAACATTAATATTCTGATAATCAAACCTTCTTTTGAATCAACAAAAATAAAATTATTAGTAGAAACAGTTAATGAAGGTGTCCAAACCTTTCAAAAGGATTTGCAGCATTTTATATAAGCAAAAAAAAAGTTAAAAGTACTTAAGAAAATATATCTAAAACATTTTTCGTCACCATTGTCATCTTACCAGTGCAGAAGACAATTAACTGTTAAAAAAATAAATAAATCACAAAAGATATATAATTAAAGATGAGTGCAAATACAATCAATTAAAATTAAAAAATAAATATAAATGTACAAAAATTTTAATAAAAATTAACTAAATTTGTAAAAAATCATACTGAAATATACAAAAGAATTTCCATCAATGACAGTTCAACATGATTCATGTAACTTTTCTTTTTTAATATACTACAGAAATAAAATGAAAATGTTAAAAATGTAAAAGCAGTTTTGTTATTTTCTTCGCAATTGTACACATTTCATGTAATCTAATCTTACACAAAACAACCGCAAAAGCAATCTGATTTCAATCGCATGTCAATCCATATACATTCAGGAACGGCCATTTCATTTCCTATTTTGCCACTTTCAAAGTTCATTCATATCCAATGGAGAAAATTAGATAACTCGTAAACAAATGACATCAAAATTGCGAAAAGAGATTTCCATATCCATTTCCAAACAAAATAATCAAATTAGAACTTCCAATTGGATCCAGGTAAGTAAAATCCACAGCAAGCAAGAAGTGCAAAGATAGATAGAAACAAGAAGCGAAAGGTTTTAGTACCTCTCTGCCGCTGCTGCCGCCTGAAAAAAGGCAAGTGAACTTGGCCTTGCACTTCAGCTCCTTCTGCAGAGAAATCCAACTTCGTTTCTCGTTAAACCGGAGGCAATCTGATTCGGGTCGGGTCCACGAACTGGAAGGGTTTAGGTTAATATTAAGAACCTGCGCCATAGCTATTCTCATCTTCCTTTCCCTGGACTCTACTTTTCTTTTTTCTCCCCTTCTCTCCCTACAGTCGGACACAATTTCAATTTTCAGTGGTAAATCAACATAACCTTATCAAACCTGCTATGCTAATGTGCACAAATAAATATATTAACTTTTTAATATTATTTAAATTATGTCTCAATTTTTATGGAAAATATTTTTTAATTCTGACTAAAAAAATTTTTAAAAAGCTCCTTTGAGCATTTTCTTTTTCCTTTTTTTAGAAATTCATTACATTTTTTAATAATTTTTGAGCATTGATTTTACATGTATATATATAAAATCTAAAAATTTGAACAATTAAAACTTTAAAACTTTTTGATCGTTGAATTTAAAATTAAAACTTTAAAGCTTTTTCAATCGTTGAATTTAAAATTTTAAAACTTTTAAATTTTTTTCTTATCTACATCTATAAACATATATCTATATATGCCTGTCAATTTTAATGATCTTCTTTACAACGGTTTCTTCTTCTTTGTTTTTTTTTTTTTTTGGATTATTTTAATGATCTTCTTTACAACGGTTTCTTCTTCTTCTTTGTCTTTTTTTTTTTTTTCGGATTATTTTACTTTCATTTTTAGATTTTGATTGTGCTCTCAAGATTTTTTTATTTTTTTTTTTCTTTTTGATACTATTATTATTTATTGTTGTGTGTTTTTCATATTTTTTAATTGCAAAAGAAACGATAAAGCAACTTCAAATTTTCTTCTTCACCTGAGGTAACTACAATGTCGACGTAATGTCAATTCTTGAGTCTTACTATTTCTTTTTTCTCTTTTCTCAATTCTTTTTAACTTTTTCAAAAAAGAAATCAAAGAAATTATATAATTGAAAACTTTTATGATCTTATTATATTTGATATTATTATACATATGAAATAAATGATACTTGTGCAGGAAAATGTTGACGATAGAGGCAAAGAGCAAGAAAATGAAGAGAATAAAATAGGATTATATTAACGAAACTCATTATTTTCATAAATTATCTAGATTTTTTTTTTAGTAAAATAAAATTTTTTTATTTTTGTACCTATGTAGAATTAATTATATAATATTGAATATTTGTTGTACGTAATTTTTTCAATTATTGTGTAGTTATTATTTATTATTATTTGTTCACGAACGACCCAGTATCCCGTGGTGCCCGGACCAGCACTAGGCCCAGGTAAGCTTAAGGCCCCCGAGGCCGTAGTAGTCCTGAAAAAACACTAAAAAAATTTACACAGCTCAATATAATATTAAACATTTAGCCCACATAATTATATTGTCCTATGTTAATACACGACTAAATTGTATACATTTCTAACAACTGCGGAGTCAGTAACTAATAGATATACATAGATTTTGTTATACATCTAGATACATGCAAATATTTCTTGGTCTAAGAAAAAATTTTTTCCTTTCTAACTCTGCGATCGAAGGAATATACTTCAATCGACAATTTAAAGAGAAACTTACTTCCTGAAAAAAAAGATTAAACAAGATATGTTGAAGCTTTCTCACAGGATTTAACTAATTTATTGCACAACACACCCATTCACACAAATGTATTAAATATATAGTAGTCAATCTTAGTCTCCGACTAGTTATATGCTCACGCAGCTAAGTCACATTAACAGAATTGCATGTCCACAGCACTCACAAACAATATCACCTTCAAATAATCACATCAACGTGGAAATTAGTCAGTGGAGTCACCGAACCCCCCGATGAGTCCGTCATCTATCCACATGGCTCATCCTCTCAGCGGTGTGCACCAAGGGAGCCGCTCCCCATACTGGCCCGACCGGGTCTAATCTCATTGACCAGCCTCTCATTGTTTTTTTCCATTCTCTCTTTTCTTTTTCATACCAACAGGAGGTAACCCGGTCCGTGCTCCATCAAAATCTAGATCATCAGGCGCTCCCCACAGGAGGCCACCCTGCGGGCTGCGATCAAATTTGACTTATGCAGGTGCGCCCAATAAAGAAACGCAACCTGTGGTTTTTCCATATTAACAGATCATAGCAGTAAGGTGCACACGGGGGCCGCGATCTCCCAATTTACCCAGCCAATTTCAATATCCTATTCAGGATCCATATAACATATACCTTCTCACAACCCCATGGTGACACTTCATCCCAATTCACACAACGCAAAGCACGACAATATTTACAACAATAATTAATCCAACATTGCAATTAAATGCAAACATATTGTAGTTTCGAACATCATACATGAAAGGGCACAATTAAACATTCATCGCTCAAATGCAACATTAACTAATTAGAATAAATATACTTTCAATAAACAATACAGATAAAATTCAAAACTAATAATAATAATAAATATAATAATAATAACAATGGATAATGAAAATTAAATACATAATTAGCATAATAAGAATACATGGATAAAGTCAACCTTATGTGAACCCTTCCCCAAATGTAATAGGCATGGTGATGCATATGAATGAATGCAGAAGAAATAACGCTGATGTTGTGTGAGTCGCCAACCTTGTTTAATTACTTTTCAGGGTAAAACTAGGAAAAACCCTAAGTGACCTCCATTTTTATTAACCTAGTTTACTAGTATTAATTTATTCCCAATTATTAAGAGCACAATTACGACCCGTGAGATGGATCCCGAGACTATTGTTCATGCCGATAAACTAACCGATGAATGCAATGCTTTGGCAAGGTTAAATGTGGATTTACATAAAATGTTTGAGTGATTTTGGACTTGCCACCCTCGGGGTGAAATCTGAAACGTGTCCGGCCTAACGTACTTCGTTTGTCGAATGGACAGAATCAACAGTCAACGTAGTTTCGATGGCTCTTTTAGAGGGCTTTGGGAATAGATACTGCTTAATGCCATGGGTGTGTGTATGCTTAGTGGCATCGACTTTTGTGTTATTGCTTTGGTGCATTTTGTGGTGTATGCCTTTTGTTGCATTTGTTTAGGCATTTTGCCAAAGATTGATTGGATTTTTTAGGCATGTCTGCAAAAATGTTTGATTTTAATGGCTTTTAGCCAAAATGTGTTGATTTAGGGCAATTGTTGCCAAAATGTGCGAATTAGGCGATTGTCGCAAAATGGTTGATTTTACGGTTTTAGGCCGAAAATGTTGAATTTTTAAGGATTTTGCCAAAAGATTTGATTTTTAAGCGATCTTGGTTGCTGAAAATCGGTTTGATGTTTTAGGGCTTTTTAGCCAAAAGGGTGTTGTTTTTAGGCAATTAGTTTTGCCAAAAATGTGCGATTTAGGCTTTAACATGCCACGATTATCGATTAATTGGGCGTTCGAGCTTAAATCACAATTTATTGGTTCGAGACGTGATTGATTAAGGCTTTTAGCCACAATTATTTGATTAAATTGCGACTTAAGCGGATTTGTTCGAATAAGGCAATTGAACCGGTAGTTTTGATTAATAGGTTTTTAGCCAATATTGGTCGATTTAAACTTTAATACCCAACGATTATTGATTAACCGGAGCATTTTAAGCTTAATCAATTAATTCAAGGCAAGTTTTTTAACCAAAAATGAATGACGTGGATGGCATTTATGCAATTGTAGAATTATTAAGAGTAGAAGAGAAATATGCATGAAGGGGGGGGGGATGCTAAAATTAAATAGGACAGAGGTTTTGACTATACCTTATTTTAATTCGACGACCGCTTTCTTAACTCCCGATTAAGCTCATCGCTTAGGAAATATTAATTAATTTTAATTTGTTTACATTTTAATGTCGAAATATCACAATAAAAATGCAATAAAAATTAAATTAATGCAAAAGCGGTAAGAAAACGAAGGAGCGTGAGAGGGAGCTTCGTCCGTCAACACAGACAGGGGTGCCAAAATTGGACTTATAGGCCATTTTCGGGTCCAGGGCGGCAGGTGCCGCCTGGCTCGGCGGTAGCTGCCGCCTGGGAGGGCGGCAGGTGCCGCCTAGTCGGTGGGGGGGCAGGTGCCGCCCATGCTGGGCGGTAGGGGCCGCCCAGTCGGTGGGGCGGCAGGTGCCGCCCAGGCGGTGGGGCGACAGGTGCCGCCCATGCTAGGCGGTAGGAGCCGCCGTGTCCGGCGGCCGGCGCCGCCGTAGCTGGTGGTGGCCACCATGTCTCGCTCCGAGAGCTTTTTTGGGAGTTTCCGACCTCCAAACGGACCTCATCAAAAATCATTTCCGGGACCGGTTCTGCGATCTCGTAGAAATTCCCGGACGCTTTCAAGTACCATATTGAACATTATTTCCAGTCAATGTCCAAAATGGCCTCCGGTCCGGCGACTGTTTGCAAACAGTTTTGCTGCAACAAAGTCAAATAGTCTGTGACAAAGTCACATTTACTGTAGCAAAGTCAAACTAATTTGGCTATGGCCTGTAATGCACTGTTTTTCCTCCATTTAAAGAGTTTTCACATGCCACCAACAACATGAGAAGGCCTCAAAAAATTTGAGTTTCACCCAATTAATGCACTATATTTATTTGCTCATATTATACGAAATTTCTAAATATTATTTAATTATGTTATTTAATTAAACTAGTCTAGGTTTACAACCGAAATTTCGGCAGCACTCCCCTAAAATTGGACTATCCAAATATCACAATATTATTATATATTTATAAAATCAATGCACATAGCCCATCACACAGCTCATCCGTCGGGCAATCAATCAATTTAAAATCCCATCCTCCTTTCAAAACAACCATATCAACATTCACCAATTAATTTACAAATTATAATAACCTCTAGGCATGTTCCAACAATATTATTAGCTGTTCTCTAACTAATTATCAAATAAATGTACAATCTATAAACAAAACTTGTATCAATAAGTTAAATCCAACCATCCTCATTTGATAGTTACCTAGCCTTTAAATATTATAGAGCTCTTTATCAAACCTTCATTTCTTCATCCTTGCTGAAAGGTAACACTCACATATTTATACCTTCATACATATGCATATAAACAAAAGTCTCACATCACTTAAAATGATTTCAAATTACTTTCAGTTTAATAGGTTTCTTGCCCTAACTACAAATAAGCTCCTTTATCAACCTTTGTCTCATTTCATCTTTTGGTCGAGGTATAAACCCCTATTTACAACTTTATTAAAA